TTTTTTAATTTCTGATGATGTTTTTTAGAGTAAAGTAATGCTCAGTATTTATTTATTATTTCTATTGGTAGTTGTTATACAATATGCAGCATTATGATGATTTCCTCTGGTTTATTATTCTTATTTTTGTTATTATAAATCATTCATTGTTGTATTGTATATTATGTTGTATTGTTTATGAGCATTAATAGTTTGTGTACTTGTTTCTGCTCCACTTTTTATTGAAACGAGATTTTTTTTACATGCCATAGCTTTTATACACTAACTTTTATTGAATGTGTTTATATGCATTGATATTACTTATCATTAGTATTTTAGTAATTGTGCTTTTTAAAATTGACTATTATAATTATTGTATCTATTATATTATTGCTAAAACTAATAGTAGTATAATATAATTATATAATTTGTTATGCTGTTAATAAAATTTTTTAAATGTTTCTTTTAAAATATGTACATCATTTTAAGAACATTGATCTAGTCAACATCAGCTTATTACAATTTACACTGATACAGTTACATGATACATGACATGTAAAAAAGTCTTGGGTATTTTCTAAAAAATACCCAAGGCCTATGGTTTTTTTCAAAAATTGGCTCCAAAATCACCCCAAATTTTTATTACATTTTCTAAAAGATATTGATGTCTTTATGCTGTGTAGAAAGTTTGAGCTGATTCCAACAAATATTTTTTGAGTTATGGCCATTTTAAGAAATTGGCCAATTTTTGAAAATTACCCAAGGCTTTCGCCCATGGTTTTTTCAAAAAATGGCTCCAAAATCACCCCAAATTTTTATAAAAAATGAACTAGTATACTAGTTCATTGTTAAATGAACTAGTGACTACATGTCTGCAGTATCACTGACCATACAAGAATGATTGAACCTAATAAGGAAACTGAATTTTTACATCCACAACATTACATGTTGTATAAATTATACACCTTGGTAGAGGTTTCTATGGTATTTCTTAACCTCGCAACTGCATCGCTTGGTTAATAAATCCCATAAAAACCTCTACCTTGGTGTATAACCTATACTTATTACACTAAAGGAAACTGTAATAAGGCCAAAGACCATGTATAATAAACTATAGTACAGGGGCTTTAAAAATTCGTAAAAATCCAATTTTGATCGGAATTAGCTCAAACTTTCTACACAACATAAGTACATTTATATGCATCAGTTAAATCACAACAGACACAAACCAGTCCTTACTAACTGATCTAGTTAACTAATATTACTATACTCTTTACAGTTATGACATATTCCAGTGTACTTCCTGCTTGAGCCTATAAAACGAAGAGGATGAACTAAATTTAAGTCATAACCAGCAAGACAGTTTAGAAATACAATCATCATGAGTGCTCATTTGGACGTATATCTTGACTTCATTGTCAGCTTAGAAGATGTAAATGATCAACAGCTCCAGGACTTCATTGATGAACGGGAACAGTTCATCTTGCTTGGCAAGTCTGACGTGATGACCAAAATCAACACGTCCATTGATTCTGTTTTTGACAAGATTGATGAACTGGCCAAACAACTTGAGGAGGAAGAAATAGCTGATGAATCCGTTCAACTTGCAGAAGATGCTGCAGCAGTTGCTGCCATTTGGTCATTTGGTCTCAGCATGGCTGCTTCTGTACTTCTTCAAGTAGTGGACGCTGCTCTACAATCATTTATCAAGTCCAAAGAAGATGACCTCTATAATCATCTTAATAGTGCAGATAAAGATATTGCTGATGGTGTTGGCGATCCCTGTGCAAAATACATTAGCCTTGTCAAGAGTAACACTAGTTATATTGTTAGCCTTGCTACTGGTCTTTCGAGTCAAAAAGCTAGGACCTTTCTCTACAACTTCATGGACTACATTGCCAGTCATGCCCAAGGTGGCGTCACGTTGGACAACTTCAAAAACTATATCGAAGTTGCCAAGCGAACAAAAAAAGATGCAAACATTGATAAGATAAATGACATCCTTGATAAGTTTGCTTTGTCCAGTGATCATGGAGAAGAGAAGATTGAAGAAGCCTTGCAAGGCATGAAAGAAGCTTTGAACAACACTAGCATCCTTCACATGATTAGGAGTGTTTTCACTATGATCTGTATTCAGATGAAGATTGAGACCGTGAGGATCATAAAAGCTGCTAGAAGAGCTGGGGTACCTCTTGAAGAATATGCTCCTCAAAGGATAGAGGCCTTGGACGTTATAGGAAAGGCCATGATTGCTTTTGCTATTATGATTTCCGTTGCTGATGCTATTCTTAATGTTTACAACATTGTCAAGACTGTGGAAAGATACAAAAAGAACATTGAGATCTTTGCTCAAGCAAGACAGCAGTATAAGGATTTCTACCAACAGTTGTATGATGCATCCGTCGAATACGGAAAAACTAAGTAATTGAAACTGAACATTTATGAACAATAGCTAGTATAGAGTATAGTTTAATCATTAGTGCATCAGTTCAGTAGTTGATTTACTTTAATGTTTTATTAATATGATTTTGATTCAATGAAAATTAGATGTAACTGGAACAGCTCCAATCTGAAGGGAAGAGAGATAGTTCAATATTATTTATTATTATTTACTGCTGGTGCTTTTTCTCAGTAATGGTTGCTTCCCTTGTCTTTCTTGTAGTATACATTCAGTCGTATATAAATCATCATCACTCTATGAAGGAATGATTAGAAAAAGAACATAAAATCCTCATTAGCTACTCTTGCATATTCTATAGCAGTTACATGTATACACTTATTTTGATGCTAATGAAACTCATACAGGTTCTTGTGCAGTGACTAGTGACTACATGTCTGCAGTGTTACTGATCACAAGAATAATTGAACTGAAGGAAACTGTAATTAAATAAGTACTTGATCTTAATAAGGCTAATGATAATTATAAATCACATAAAGAGTGGGTAAACACTGAAAGTAATTGTACATAAAAGGAATCCTCACCTGTCCACCACAAATAGGAATGACTACACTAAAGGAAACTGTAATAAGAAATAATAATAATAATAATAATGCATATGACACAAGGCTAGATCTGTCAATTTTTAATCAAAAGTGTGGGTGATTTGACCTGTTAATGCATGCTTTTTACTATCCTTTCAGGACTAGCGTAATATTGTAAATCCGCCATTATGCAAATCAAGTATAGTGCTATATCACAATGTAATGTGTTCCAATGTAAGTTCATTACACAAAGAAACACTTTCAATATAATAATAATTAATATATTAATTATGATTATTAGCAAATAATAACAAACTTGAACATTATCAATAATTATCTAATATCAGCATTAATTAATGATGCCACAGTTACTGGTCCTCCTGAAGTGGATAGGGTACATCCTCTATAGGTCACTGTACACTGGGGACTGGTTGATAGCTCAGGCTGGTAGGAGAGAGGGAGGGAGGGGTAAAGGAGGGAGAGAGGAGGGAGGGAGGGAGAGAGAAAGAGGGAGGGAGGGAGAGAAAGAGGATAAAACAATTTTAATGCAACAAAATGCCAAAAATTGGGCAGTGAAACTTTTACAAAGATAAAATTTGAGAGTTGTAAAATCTATTTTTGTAAATTTATAATTTTAACTGCTAGTCATACGATAAGCAAGATG